ATCACTTGATTATCTGGCCGGCAGATGTCGATCATGTATGGTGCAAGGCAACTCACTGACAGACTATGCAGGCAGGCAGGCAGGCAGCAAGCCTCGGAGACAGCAGGGTCCTGAGGACATCACTGCCACCCGGCACTGTGTAGTCAGCATGTCATGCTGGGTAACCTTTTTGAATCCAAGTTGCGCACACTACCGCTGAGGTCTCAAATCGGACAGTCTAGCTCTGCTGGCGAGATCGTCGAATTCAAAATCCTCTAAGCGCACGCAAACCCGGCACTCTGCCTTCCCCAACATCCGTAATACGGTCTCGGAGGCTGTACAAACACGACAAATCATTGATTCAGTGACGACACAAATTCGTCTGACACATTGTAATGTAAAATTCCTGGCACTCTGCCTTGCCGCACAAATCTCGGAACGAGTACGCACAGGATCATGTCATTGATATGCCAGGCTACTTGCAAGACTTGCCCACGCTCTTCAGAATTCAGAAACATCCACAATGTCGAAAAGGACTCCTCTAGCAGCTCGTCGAAATAAATCACATAATCATCGTCGTCAAAACTGTCCGCGACCGAGCCCACAACCGAACCCCCAAACGCCGCAGTGCTTGCAAACTCGCCAACAGCCAATAAGTCCGAGACCGAGCCCAGAGACTCACTGTCACTCCACGACATCGACCACATCTGCCGGCTTGCACGGATGCCTACTACGACTTAGACTAGAGACAGAGCAGGTCGTCGGGATCACTGCTTTCATCGAGCACACTTCAATTGTCCAAAGATTAAAACATTAACAGTGACTAATGCATCACTATACAGTACATTAATCAATGATATGTAACATTGTGTTACTACTGTTACATCAGTATGAACGAATCACTTGATTCCCTGGCCGGCAGACAGATGTCGATCATGTATGGTGCAAGGCAACTCACTGACAGACTATGCAGGCAGGCAGGCAGGCAGCCAGCCTCGGAGACAGCAGGGTCCTGAGGACATCACTGCCACCCGGCACTGTGTAGTCAGCATGTCATGCTGGGTAACCGTTTTGAATCCAAGTTGCGCACACTACCGCTGAGGTCTCAAATCGGACAGTCTAGCTCTGCTGGATGGGCCGCCTCTGTGGTTCAACCCTCAGAAATATTCAACCCTCAGGTTTCTCTGGGTGCTATAGCATCATGAGAACCAGGATATCTGATGTACATGTACAGCATCTATGTACAGATTCCGGTGGGTGTACAGTCTGTACAGATTGCGGTGATGGGGGTAGCATCGTGAGCATCATGAGACATCATCCTGGCTCAATTCTGGCGAACAAGCATCATGAGACATCATCCTGGCTCAATTCTGGCGAAAAAGAAGAAGAGGTTTAGGTTCGGTTTTAGTTATTTTGGCTCAAAAGGCTCAAAAGAGTGTAAGAGAGAGCGACCCGAAGGAGGAAAAACAGACAGAGGGGCGAAGGGTCATTGGTGTTCGGCTTTCGGATTTAGGGTGTAAGGCGCCAAAACCCCAACAAAGCCGAAGCCCTGCCAAAGCAGCAGCGGCAGCGAGCTGGGGCCGGGCCCGGCCGTGCGAGGGAGGCGCCTGCGAGGCGGGGGCGAGGGACGGGGGTTTTGGTTTTGGCCGGCTTTCGCGGTTTTGTGTGGGTTTTCCCTAGTTCTCTTTCTGCCTTTAAAACGGAACTAGGATTCGGAACTAGGAAAAACTCGAGTAAAAGGCTAGCTTTGCAGGCCACGTCTGGTTTTTTTACGAGGGTTTTGCTTCCACGTCTGGTTTCGCTCTGGGTTGCTTCGGCCTGGGCGCTTTGCATTAGCACTGGGCAGCGTGAGACAAGAATAATAATCACAGATGAGACTGGCACTCTAATACCGAGTCCCGCAATATGGGCAGAGAACCCATGCCTGACATTCCCGGTGCTTCTGGCACTTGGTGCAGCATTCAGCAACAGGTTCAACAGACCTCAATACAGGACCCACTGCATCATTGAGGGCCTTTCGCTGCCGACGAACCGTGGGGGTGTCGTACACCCGCTCAAGGGTTTCTGGTGTTGTGCCGCAGATTGCTGACACGACAGCCCCCGACCGGCATTGATCTTTCAGAAGCGATACACATGTCCGCTTGAGGCTGTGAGTTCCTAGTTTCGACAGGTCTACATCGTCCCAGATACTAGGCAAACCCTCCTCGTGCCGCTTGGCTCGCTGTCGCTGCAGGATTGCAGCCGCATGCGAGATTTTGTATAAGAAAGCCCGAGTAGTGATGGGCCGGGTCCATGTACGATGCAAGGTTCTGCCTTTGGAGATTTTATGACCGGGAAATAGACAGCAATCTGGAGCCATGGGTTGTTTGGCAAACGGCCACTGTGCACCATTAGGCGCTTTCAGGGGCGATGTCTGCATCCATTGCCGTAGCATACTCGCGAATTCCGCCAAGATGGGCACTGATCGGGGTTTCGTCTTGCCATTGACATTGTCGGGGATGTTGATAAAGCTTGGGTTGCTGTTGTTCTCCAATACATTCTGAAGCCAGGAGACGAGCACAGAGGTTGCTGCTCCTGCTCGCTCGCCCAAGCACAATTGCATCAGCATCAGGACTGCTGCCCAGGGAGCCTGTACTTCAGTCAGGAGGCAATCCCAGAGACTCCGGCATTGCTCTTGGTCTAGGCATTCCCGCTGGCCCCTAGGGTTGGCAGCTTTCTTCTTGAGGCAATGCTTCTTGTGATTCTCGCAGCAGAAGTGTACCTGCACAATGTTTGTCCGCAGTGATCTGCATTTCGTCTTGTCCACCTCGTTCACATGAGCTCTCAGCTTCGGAGGAACATTCTTTACATCCCGGCCACTTCGACAACTTTTCCAGCTGCAGCTCATCTTTCGAATGCTGGTTTTGCATCGTCTGGGGCCACGCTTCGGTGCTGGGAGTTTCCCCTTCATCGTAGCTGAGGCCCTGTACAGGGCCTTCAGCTGTTGCTTGCCTTCTGATGTGTAGCTGGCCCTGTACAGGGCTAGCGGCTAGCTGTGAAGTGTCACGGTGTTGCTGTTGACATCAGGCCCTGTACAGGGCCAGATGGGAAGTCTCATCTGAGCTTGGGCAAACGGCTACAAACCAAGTTTGGCAGTGTTGGCATGTTCTGCTTGCAAGTGTTCGAATTGCAAGATCCATGAGCTTTCTGGCTTTCGAGAGTGGTGCTAGTGCTGCTGGAATGGCAGCTGCCGGGGCCGGGGGGGCGGGTGATGATGAGCCTCCTTGGGAGGACCTGCGACTAGTGACTAGCGACTATATAGATACATGCTCAATTCTGTTCTTGTACTACTACCATCAGACTTCCCAGGACCCATGGAAAAAGGTGGCCAAGTCGCTTCAAGGCACAGGAGCTTCCTTGTGATAATAGAATCGAATTGTCTGTCTTTGTCAGGTCAAGGGTCAAAGAGAAAAAGGAAGAACGAAAGCGGATCTAAGAAAGAAAAGAAGAGAAGGACGGGGTGGCCTTATGTTCTTGAGAAGCTCTTAGATTTTTTGTGGCTTCAGGCGAAAGATCTTGAACCTGTTGGTGAGCAGCTCTTCCTCTGAAGGCAGGGCGGCACATGTTCGTTTTCTCTCGGAGGCTATAACTTTAGTGTGCAGGCGAACAGGATGACAATGACGATCGACGCGAGCTTCGTGCTGAACTGAGTCAGGCCCTGAGCAGAACCACCATGTATGGGTGGAGGCATCGACGAGATGTGAGACGTGCAGCTCGGAACGGTGACGAGCCACCCAACAACCCTCCCCCATGCAAGGGGGCCCCAGCCGTGCCCAAAGCCCCTCCGCCCCCCCCCCCCCCCCCCCCCCCCCCCCCCCCCTTTCCACCCCCCCCTCCAGACCAGCCAGAGCACCCAAAGGCAGCCCCCGCCGAAGAAGCTGCCAGCTACTTGCAGCAGTGGTACACTACGGCTTGGATGCTCTACCAGCAACAGCTCCTCGCCTCCCACGTGGCGGAGTCCACAGAGCCAGGGCCTGCTGTGCCGAAGGCACCGGAGACAAAGCGGATGCCCCGGATGCCCCAGCCCAAAGAGCACCAGCCGAAAGGATCCGCGGCGAAGCCCAAAGGCGCACTTCATCCAATATAGCCCATGAATAATGAAGCCTATTTCCCCGGCCAGGTGTGACCATGCCTCCCGAGCAACGTCGGTGGTGTCCCCGCCTCATGGGCTTACGTTCTTGGTTTGCAGCTTTGGACTCTGTGATTTCTGAGGCCGGGCCTGCGAGAGCTACAACTACCTGAGGAAGGGCTCCTGTGCGAATCCTCGATGCTCGCTGCACCGCGGCTAGAGAAGGTAGGATCTACGGTGCACTGACGCCACAACAGCCTGGGTACTGAAGCAGGAAAACGATTCAACGAGTGATTGCATCTGTCTGTGATTCTGTGATGATGGGCATGGCATGCAGCATGTTCGGTTGCTTGTCGCACTCGTGCCTTGCTGTCTGTTGTGCTTACAGGACAGGGCTAGGGATGGGGGATCGACACCTTTTACGGGTGTCAGACCTTTCGGATTCAGGGGCCGAGGATGCTCCTGGTCCTGCTGTGCAAGGTCATAAACGGAAGCTAGATCCGGAGCCGGCTGATCCTTATGCAACCTTGAAAGCTCGTCTGCAAGAGCCGTGTCCCTGTTCTGCTGCCCGGAAGAAGAACCAGCAGTCTTGCTTCGACAAGTTCTTGGAGGCGGGCCAGTGGCAGAGAGTCGTGTCCTGGAGAGAAGCATTTGGAAACTTGCACAAGCTCGATCAAGACCAGTTGGCTCCTAGTCGGCTTAGTCGCATTTTTGTTGGGGTCTAAAACAACTTTATGGTGGTCAAGCCAACAGAACTGTGTTATGTTACTCGATTGCATGCACTTGAGACGAGACAGAACGAAGAAACTTGTGCTTATGTCAATAGCCCTAAACCAACCCCCCTGGAGATATCCTTGAACAACAATCTCCAACACTTCAGAAATTTCATGACCGCAAATCTAAGTTGTTCGAGATGCTTCGAGAACTGGCTCTCAGCCAGAAGGTGCTGCTGCCAGGGCAGCAGCCCCCGGGGGTCGAAGATGAAAATGTCGAGACCGCTGCGACTTCGAAACTAAAGTACGGCTTTCTCGGGCTACATGTATGCAAGCAAGGCCTTTCCACCCTCCTTGGTGTAGGCTGGAATCCCCGCCTCAGTACCATCCTGAAAAGTGTTTTGGAGGGTCGACGCTCGGCCCCTGTCGACAGACGGTTTATGGAACGCCCTATGAACGATGCTAGGCCAGTGTATTCGGAGGTAGTTTCCCATCTTCAAACACTGTACGAATCGGTGGCGGAGACGCTACCTTTTGAACAGACTGGAGAAGACGACGATGAACCCGACGAGTACAATGTCCACCCCGCATCGGGGCCAGAATTGAGGTATTTGCCACCTGGTTCAGTTTACGATTTGTGGCGGCAGTACCAGGCTACTTCTCAGTCCTCCTGTTCGTGGCAATGTTTCCACAGTGCCTGGACCAACGAATTCAGAAACAAACTCACCTTCCGTAACAAGTACACCTTCGGCATTTGTCCTACGTGCGTCAAACATAAATTGATGCTCCGTCAACTTGGTCATGATGCGGTGGGTCGTCTTCGACAACGGAACTTGTACGATAGACATTTGGCCAGCCAGTTTGCCGACAGACGCTGTTACTGGAACATGAGGGCAAGCAGCAGGGTACACTTCAAGACGGTAACACTGGTCATCGATGCTATAGATCAAGCGAAGTTTGGTATGCCTCGCTCACCAGTGTTTTCTGAACACCTGTTTCAACAGTATGCTCGGCCAAGATTGCACGTCTATGGTATCCTCGTTCATGGATATGCTGCATACCTAGCCGTCATGGACGCAGACGTCTCGAAAGGAGGATCGACGACGACGGATTTGCTCTACTTTGTGTTGAGCCGTCTGAAAAAACGTGGTCTGCCATTGGAAGACTTTGAGGTGAACCTCCAACTGGACAACACAGCATCGTCCAACAAGAACAATACGATGCTCTCAGCTGCCGCAGCTCTCGTGTTTTTCGGTTTGGCCAAGGTGGTACGCCTCACGTTTCTACGTGTGGGACACACACACGAGGTGCAAAAAAATATTCTCGCCGCTCTAGGTTTTCCAAACCTTAGTCCTGGAGCTCCTAACCTACACCCCTCTTAGTCTAGCCTTTCATTGAAACCACTGGTCAGGATATAGACCAATGGCTGGGGGAACTGGCAGGTGGCTCTGTTGCATCATGAGTATAATAAACACACCAGACTCACATGTGGGGCAAATTGGCACTACAACTCTACCCTACGCAAGCTGTGCTACAACACAATCCTAAAAGCCCTAAAACCCTACAACCCTAAAGCCCTGAACCCCCCAAAAAACCAGAAAACCCCTCAACACCTAAACCTTTAAAGCGCCGAAACTCTGAAAATATAAAGCCCTACCCTAAACCCTAAGCCCGACAGTCCTTCAGGCTTCATCCGCAGAAAGGTGCCCATCTGCGAGACGCCCGACTGCCTCATCCGTGTGCTGAACAGCGAGTTCATGCCGAGAACACGGCCCAAGGAAGCCGTCAGATGCAGTTTCAAGCAGGATTACGTTCGCGACTGGAAGGCCTACTTTGAATGCACCGGTAGGCGAGTTGCTGGTATATTCGGGCCCTCTGCACCACATTACTTCGAATTCCGACGCCGGGACAGCCCCTTGTTTGTTTCTGGAGTCTTGACGTCGTTGTTTCACAAAACTAGGGAGTTCCCGAAAGACTGTCGGATCTGGGGTTTAGGCCTTCATCTGGTCCGAGGCTTGGATGGTGAGGATCAACTTTCTCGACAAGGGCACGGCTCTGATGTCCTGCTGATGTTTCTCACCTAAAATATAATATCCCTGACCCCAACCCTACGAACTCGTGTCCCGAACTTCAGGTGCAAACAGTGGATGGCGGACTCGGCCTACAGCTGCCGCTTGGTCCACGTGACAAAGGAAGACATGCGGAAGCTGCCGGGCTCCATCCCTCCAGGACTGTTCAGCAACAAGTTCCCCCTAAAACCCCAAAACCTCAACCCTAGAGCCTAAACCGAGCCTGCATGCCGCAGAGATACGGAAGCTGCCAGGATCCAAGTCTGCAGGCCTCGTCTCTATTCCGACAGCATAGGGCACATTAAAAAATGTAAATATACTATGGCCAAACCCATGCCTGTAAGCTTCAGCCCCCAAGCCACTGCAACACGGATAATGTAGGGGCCTTAATAATTGGAATAGGGTTTGGGGGGTTCCTTATTATAATATTAGTATAGTATACCCCCAAACCCTATTCCAATTATTAAGGCCCCTACATTACCCTTTATGAAAGCCTTTGACCTAGACCTCGGGCTGCCTGAAAGGATTCCTGCCCCGACGGCCTGCACCGCCAAAGTACCGGAAGATGATAGAAAGTTTGGCCGCGGCGATAAGGGCCCCTCCGTTCGGGTCCGGGTTGAGTCGCGCCGCCACCTATCTTGAAAAATGGGTTTCTGGCGCCGCGACCCTGAACGAGCCCCTGGAATGCTTGCATCTGCAACCCTGTGCTGCTGCTGTTGCCTCGGGGAACAGACCTGCTAGTGTCGCTGTGCCCATGTCCATGGAGCCTGAACAGTCGGTGGTTCGTGTCAGCAACAGCAGCCCTTCGGTGGAGTCAGGGCACACAAGCAGTGGCAAGATGACGCTCATCAATGAGATGGCTTCGACTATGCACAGCAATGGTATGACCTGGCTAGATGCTTTCAACGAAGCCTACCGCATGTGGTCTCAGCTGCCAATGCCGGTGCAAGCACAACTGAGCTCTGCCACCGAGCCGGAGCAGCAGGATGATGCCAACGTGCCTCTCGAAGCAGAGTTGGACCGGGAGATCTAGAAAGTTTGTTCGTTATGCGAACTTCTTGCTTTGTTTGAGTCCTGAGTTTGTTCTTGGCTCACGTGCCTCAGACACTGGGTGCTCAAACCAACATGTCTCACGCAAGCAGTCCTCCTTGTGTGCCCGATGTAGAAGCCGTTGAATCCTCCAGTCGTTTCCTGCCAGCTGTCCGAAAAATGTTCGTGTCCATCATGGGGCTGCAGCAGTTCTCCTATTGGACGGACCATCAAGGCGAGATGCTGAGGGAGGTATTCCAGCAGCTCTGGATTCACGGCGACTTGACGGAGTTACAATTGCAAAACATCAGGACCTTCGTTGACCTACTCACTTCCTTGAGAACTATGCCTCCAGATTCGCAGGACGGTCGCATGATCACAACAGCTCTTCCCCGACGTCAGATCGACCCACGACTTCAGGAGGACTGGTACTTGAAAACCCCTGAGAACAGAGAGGACATGCTCTTGCACTTGGATGTCATCGCCGTGGTTCTCGACAATTGCAAGGAGCCTTGTCCACGGCCGTTGGATCTGAGGCCCCTCAAGGAGTTTTTGCTCCATGTGCACACCCGGCTCACTGCGATGGACTAGATTCAGGCCGGGGTCTGGTCTAAACCCCCAAACCCTAAACCCTCACCCTGGAAGCCTAAGCCACGCTTGCCAGACAATGAAACCCACCCTCGTTTCAAGGCTCCCGGCACCTGCAGGTGAAGGTGGGGTTACACGTTTAAGTGAGAGGTGTCAGAACGCAAACCCATTTTCGTGAGAGATCCCAGAACGCAACCCCAAATTTGTGATAGATTCGGAATACCGGAACGCAAAGCCAATTTTGTGAGAGATCCCAAAACGCAACCCAAATTTTGTGATAAACGCAGACTGCATTTCTCACAAAATGCCATATCCAGGAACCAGGATTTATCACAAAACACTACGGCACGTAAAACGGAACTTTGTGAGAAATGCAGACTGCATTTCTCGCAAATTCGTATAAGACTCAGTCCCGCCACGTTTCTTCTGTAGGGCAAATTATGCATAGATTGGCACAAAGCAAGCATTTTGTGACAAACGCAGACTGCATTTCTCACAAAGTTCCATTCCCGGGCAAACACAAGTTTGTGATAAATCCTAACTGGAGACAACCGACAATGGGGAGAGGTCCCAGAACGCAATCCCTGTTTTGTGATAGATTCAGAACTCCCAGAACGCAGACCCGGTTTTGTGATAGATTCGGACCACTGGAACGCAAACCCGCTTTTGTGAGAGATCGCAGACTTTTCTCATAGTGCCGAAGCAGTGGAATTCCCAAAAATCACATGAACAACCATGTCCAATCCTTGTTCATCAAAACCAGCATGCTCTCTGTAGGATAACACGCCTCCTCTGTGTAACCCGAAACCCTCACCCTGGAAGCCTAAACCACGCTTGTCAGGCCTTCGATCGGGGTCACGACGGTGAGTGCCTGCGATGAACAGAATCCAGCAAGGTTTATTTTGGCCTTCAGCCAATAGTCTGAGGGCTGCATCCAGTGGCTGAAGTGTCTTGCATCGATACCGTGTGTGAGCTGTCAAACACTGGGAAGTGCCTCGAACGTGGTTTCTTGTGTTTGTTGCATGTGCTCCTCTCGGCTTCACGACTGCACGTGCATTGCATGCGATAGTCGCAGACTTGCTGCTGTGCGAGCTTTTGATCTCAGGGCTGTGGCTTCATCTTAGGGCTGAGGCTTGTGTGTCTCGGGACAAACATGGGAAAACGTGCCGGTGACAACAGTGGCCAGAACAAGCAGAAGGCCACTCGCAAGGCCTCGTCGAACGACCTGGACTTGGAAGCTCAGGCTGCCAAAGCTCTCGGGGCTGCTGAAGCGATTCCTTGGTGGACAGATGCCATGGCCATGCTAGACAAGATACTGTCCGACGACGGTGCAGCCAATTTCCTTTTGAAGAAATTCCCCTCTGTGGATGCTCGCCTGGAGTTTGCTGCAAAGTTGAAGGATCTGTTTCCGGTTCCTGATGGAGAAGTGTTGGCAGCTCCGCACTTTACGCCGGGGGTGCACAACATTGCCATTTGGCAGTGTTGCTACCATGCCCAAGCCGGCAATAAAGGATTGGTGGCCAACGAATTCATGAACAGCTTGGTGACCCTCATCTTGCTTGAAGGATTTCGATCGAACGCGGCTGTGCTGCCAGGAGTCGAGTACTTAGTCATCCAGTCGTTGGTTCCGGTCTACTTCGAGGAAGTATGGCTCACCCCTGAACTGGAGCCGGGAACGTTCCCGATCCATAGCATAGGGTTCATCAAAGGCTGGACCCGATGTCTGGCGATGGTGACAGCAGCCTACATCATCTCCGAACTCGGGGTCATGGATTGGTACAAAACCCACATGCCGAGTCAGTGGCAGTCGTTCTGCTGCATCAAAGCCATGGTGCCCACCGAAGCCACCTCGGAAGTCGATCGGATCGCTTCAAACAGGGGTCACTTGGCTGTAGTGTGATCCTGAGTCCAGTGTGTTGCTACTTACTTCCGCGATCTTGTTGTCCTTGCAACCATGCTCAGCCTAGATATTACACTGGCTTCCGTGCTCACACGGGCGGCACCCAACTGCTTCAACACGCTTCACCAATTGTATCGCAGAGTCAAACATGGCGAGTCTGTCGAATCCATCGTCAAGCAGTACGAAAACCCAAGGAGTGTCCGGTCGGTTCTTGGAATGGGGCCTGCGGAATCCCAGGCGGTTGTCAACTTGGTTCACTATATCCCCGCCCCAGCGAAGGACCTTCTCGCAAAGGCAGCCGTGCAGTACGGGATGAGAAAAGGAGTTGTGTCGCACGCCGGGCTGGGGTGTGCTCACCTGCGACCTGGAAATGGTCCGGATGTGCCGATTGCCAGCTGGAAGGAGAGGTTGGCTTACAGCCAGTCGTCGGTGCTACTATGTTGCCAACGATTGGTGATGGAGTTTGCCGACGCAGCTCCGAATATGCGAAAGACCAACGGAGCCCCAGAAGTGGCACGGATGTCCAAAATCTGCCGAGCCTGGGAGGTGGTGGAAGCCGAAATCCGTGGCCAGCTTACCTCGGAGCAGTTCGCGAAGGCAAAGAAGGGCTTGCATGACTGCTTCATGGCCGGTAACTTTGACGACTGGTTGATGCAGATCACAGAGGAGTGCCCTGCCATTATCAACTTGAAGGAGGTCGCTCAGTTCAAGTCGTTGCTAGAGCAGCATGCCAGCGAACTCGAGAAGGCCTTTGGTTAACGGTTAGCACTAACTTATGGTTTAAATCTTTGAGACCTTGTCCACCGGATCCTCAGGGTTTGCCGCTGAGTCTTCAGGTTTACTGAAGTCTGTTTGGTGTGCTTGAGTGCAGCTTCAACCGTGCATGTGACCCTTTGCACTACTTTGTAGACCCATCCTCTGGATTTTGTTGATGTGAACATGGGTCTTCCAGCCTTGTTAAAGGAAATGGGGGATTTTGCATCGACGTTCATAACAGAACCTTTGCACAACATTGCTGGTGAGAGTGGAAGGTTTAGGCAGGTTTCGGCTCCAGATTTTTAAACCCCAAAAAACGGTCAACCCTAAACCCCTGAACAAAGCACCAAAAACCGTAAACCCCAAACCCCTAAACAAACCCTATACACTAGAAGCCCGAAACCCTTAATCTACGAAAGCTTGAACCCTTGATCCCGAACCCGACACACAGGCTGCCATCGACAAGTCCCGGGCCCTCCAGATTCAGGTCGAGGCAGCGACGTTTGCGAAAATGGAGGCAGACCTGGCTGCAGACGAAGCCAAGCTGAGGCAGTACGCCAAAGACGAGCACAGCCGAACGGCAACTGCAGCATCCATGGCTTTGAATGCTGAGCGGAGACGCTATGTCAAAGGCATGGATCAGGTGTCAAGTTTCAGCGATGTCTGGCTCAGGGTGCGAACTTGTCCGGTGTCCGCATGGGATATGCAAATCGCTGAGTACCGCAGGCAGCTGGCAGAGCATGTGACGACATCCCCCGACAAGAGGTGTGTTTGTCCAAAACCAATGTAACTATGCAATAAGGCAAAAGCTAGTTACAGTTACAGCTAGTTTGTGTCCTGCTCTATTCAGGTTCTTGCTCCTGGTGTTGGACATGACCGTCGCACCCCCGAACATGGAGATCGATGAGATGACGAAGGCCGCCGCCAGCATTCTTCATGCCAGTGGCCAGCATGCCCTGTTTTTGCTCTTACCTCAGCAGTACAAGAATCAAACCATGTCGGCCTTGCTGCTCGCCGAGCGCCGCATCGTGGACAAGCTCCTGGCTGCAGCGGTGAACTTGGAGAATTCCGTCAGTATCCACTACAAGGTCGACAGCATGCACGCTGCCGACAAAAGGCGGCTCTCCACGCAAGCACGGTTCGCCGTCTCAGCTAAGGTTGATGCTACTGCTTGGTTGGAGTCTGACATCACTCGTGGCAAGATCGAATCAGTGCCACTCGTGCGAGTGAAGGAGATGAAAGCCGTGGCAATGCCAGGGTCGGTGAGCTCCGATGTTTCATGGGAGCTGTCCCCTGCAGAGCGGTTGGTTCACCGAGGGTCCGCCGCAGCGGCCGGCATGGTGGATGCCATCGTGACCAACTCCCCGGCGAATCGACCCAACACGCTGCTGTCTGTCATTGAGCTGAGAATGACACCGAACAACGCAGACTGGGCACAGGGCTGCTGGCAGCTCACCAAAGACTGGGGTGCGAGAACTGACCGACCCAAGATATCCTACCTTGGGCTCTGCAAGGAAGCTTCACCTGTGCGAAGTCATATGGCCTCGGTCTTGATGGAAGAATGGTGGCCAAATCAACCGGGGGGAGGCCCAGCTCAGGTTGAATCGGTCGCTACAAGCTTGCCAGACTTGACACTGGCCACCATCGGTGCTGATGGCATGCCTGTGTTGCCCGCGGTGGTGCTCGAAAAGTTCGATCGGCATGAAACGTATGGTGGCCCGTGGGCGAAGCTTGTTTCGAATTTCCGTGCTTGCATGGCCACCGACGTTGTGCCGAAGCTGAGTGTGAGTGCCAGGGCTTCTCGGGAAACCGTCGAGGGTGCTGCAACTGGTGGTGCAGCCGTTGCCAACGGGCCGGACTACAGCATCGCTCCTTTTCCGACCCAGCCTCCACGGGTGATCTTTCCGACTACCCCCGCAGCAGATTTCAGAATGGACGACGTGTCGCTAGGTTCGAACCTACGGAATAATTGCATAGATGTGGCTGTTGCTAAACCTGAACTACAATCCCGAACCTCCGAGATCCTAGGCTCTTCAACGTGAAAGCCACTCGAGGGTTGCCAGCATTGCACATCGACAAAGACTTCAACGTCTACATGTCTGTGGAAGCCACCCTGTCCTTGGAGCCGCAGGAGCTGTTCGGCTTCAACCTGGGAGACCTGCAGAAAGGCTTTCTGCTGCATACAATACTGCATGTTGTGCTCTGAATCTGTTTGTTTACGCAGTAGTCTTGGGAGGCACTGCTGCACCCGATCCCAACACCAGCATCAAGTGGGAGCTCTCTGACGATGTGGCCTCCGTTTTCATGGACGACGGCCAGGGCAATCGAAAGCTTTGTACTGTTGCAGACGCCCGTCACCACGCCTTCTCCGCAATGCACATCCCCGATATCGGCCTTCAGAACTACGACGTTACCCCCTTGAAGGCAATGTCGCTAGATCACCAGAGGGCTGGGGTATTGCTACTGCTACCGCTATTGCTACCGCTATTGCTACTGCTATTGCTACTGCTCCTGCTCCTTCTCCTTATCCTGCTTCTGCTACTGCTGCTGCTGCTGCTGCTGCTTTTTTATTCTACTGCTGCTGCTATTGCCGCTGCTAGCACTACTGCTACTGCTACCGTGCCACTGTGAACGCCACATAACTAATCAATCGCACAGTGCCTCCTCACAGTACTTCTGATAAGATCCCGAAGACCGCACATAAGCTGCAACATGACAGGACAACGGCACGGAAATCTTCATGAGGTGTGCTGTGGTGTCGGCTGGGGACTACATCTTCTTTTGCCCCACGAGATTGACCGATGAGCAGGTGGCCGATGGGACGTTGAAGCGAGCAGCCGCAGGTGCTGTGTACATGGACAACATGCAGAAGCTTGGGGAGCTGGAGCATGCCAAGATCGTGTGGCAGTGTTGCTACCAGTCGCAAGCACCGGCGCTGATCAAGCCAGTGAAGCCCAAACTTTTCATTGTGTGCAACACACACTTGGAGCCGGGGTACTTCTACAAGTTGACCTGAGCTTGCCGCATGACAAAGTCATGACGTGCCTGCGATGCTTCCCTCCAGACAGTTTTGTTTCGCATTCAGTCAAGAGGTGGCATCATATCTTTTCCACGGCCCCGGGCCCCATGCTTCCGCAGTGATCCGCAGTGGATGGCACGTGCAGTCACTCAGTTGAGAAACCAATGGCCAACGTGAGATGTTGCTTGAATGCTCTCAGACAAGCTTCACCAATCTTGAAATAAAGAGGCTCAAAGTCTTCGGGTGTTCCAACTTATCTGGCTGCGATTCCCGTGTCATGGCAGTCCTGCAATCAGTGACACAGCTGTCCGACTCAGAGCCGGAGTTGGGGGGCTTCAAGAAGGGCGAGGACTCACAGCCGAAACCAGAGCCGGAGGACGCCAAGCCGAAAGCTGAGCCCAAGAAGGAACAGCCAAAGAGCAAGCCAAAGCCCCCGAAGGACGCCAAGCCGAAAGCTGAGCCCAAGAAGGAACAGCCAAAGAGGAAAGTTTGCAAGAGACCGGCCGCAGCGAATCCCGACGACAAAAGCTTGCCCGAGAATGAGAAGCCCCAGGTCCCGGAGGTGGAGATAGTGGAGAAGAAGCCACGCAAGGATGACGATCAGGGGGGCTACAGACTCAGGCCATACAGGGCCACGAACGCGATGGCCATCCAGGCCACAGAGGGCGACAAGAAGCAGGTGCTGCAGGCTGGGTCCAAAATAAACGGTATCTTTCGTATGCACGACAAGAAGATGTTGTTGTTGTTGTTGTTGTTGTCCCCGCACAACCCCAGACTCAAGCCTTTCAGGTGAAGATCAAAGGGGCCACCTTCGAGCAGAACACAGAGATTGCTGAGGTACTCCTGAAGTTTCTTCGCAGTGGCACGCCGTTAGAGGAAGTCCTTTCGATGAAGTCCCAAATGGGAAGTGAACTCGAGAGCAAGATCGCCGGCAAGTGAGGTTTTAACCCAAAGGTCTTGAACTTTAAGTGTACCTTTCTGCTGCTGGGGGTCAGGAGCACAACAGATGCTTCCGATTCAGATTTTGACATGCAGTTCGAGTGGTGCGAAAACAAAGATCACTCAAATCAGCTGCAATGCCTTTATGTTGCTTGGCTGCTTGCTGAGATTGAAGCTATGTCGCTATGTACTGCATTTGCACCCCGGCCAACAAGTAGGGCAGACATGCACGCACACACGCAGGAGTCCTCTGGCCCTTTCTCATCTCGCATATGGCTGTCAGTCTGTGACAATCATGCACTCGTTCGCTCCTTCCTTCGCTCGCTCGCACGCTCACGGTCATTATACATGTGTACCTGGTACCTCCCCTACATATGTAAACTGACGTACATCCATACACACATACGTACATACATACGTACATACATACACGCACACATGCATACACACACACACATACATACATACATACATACCTACGTACATACATACATACACACATACATACATACACACATACATGCATACATAGAGAGCAAGGGAGACAGGAGGAGAGGGAGAGAGGGAGCGAGACAGACTGGTAGGCCCTGTACAGGGCCTGTCCAAAATGTGCACGTTGCTCGGCCCTGTACAGGGCTTCGCTGTGTGCTCACCCGCAACGTCGTCGAACGCCAGAGCCCCCGAAACCCGACATAAGTTGAAGATCACACGAAAAACAAGACACGGCCCTGTAATAGACCCTTTTACTCATGTTACGCAGTTCGACCTATATACAAGTTAACCCAAATCCGAAAAGGCCGAAGTGGCAAGCAAAACCCTCGCAAGCGAAACCAGAGCGAAACCAGACGTGGAAGCAAAACCCTCGTAAAAAAACCAGACGTGGCCTGCAAAGCTAGCCTTTTACTCGAGTTTTTCCTAGTTCCGAATCCTAGTTCCGTTTTAAAGGCAGAAAGAGAACTAGGGAAAACCCACACAAAACCGCGAAAGCCGGCCAAAACCAAAACCCCCGTCCCTCGCCCCCGCCTCGCAGGCGCCTCCCTCGCACGGCCGGGCCCGGCCCCAGCTCGCTGCCGCTGCTGCTTTGGCAGGGCTTCGGCTTTGTTGGGGTTTTGGCGCCTTACACCCTAAATCCGAAAGCCGAACACCAATGACCCTTCGCCCCTCTGTCTGTTTTTCCTCCTTCGGGTCGCTCTCTCTTACACTCTTTTGAGCCTTTTGAGCCAAAATAACTAAAACCGAACCTAAACCTCTTCTTCTTTTTCGCCAGAATTGAGCCAGGATGATGTCTCATGATGCTTGTTCGCCAGAATTGAGCCAGGATGATGTCTCATGATGCTCACGATGCTACCCCCATCACCGCAATCTGTACAGACTGTACACCCACCGGAATCTGTACATAGATGCTGTACATGTACATCAGATATCCTGGTTCTCATGATGCTATAGCACCCAGAGAAACCTGAGGGTTGAATATTTCTGAGGGTTGAACCACAGAGGCGGACTTTCTGGCGAGATCGTCGAATTCAAAATCCTCTAAACACACGCAAACCCGGCACTCTGCCTTCCCCAACATCCGTAATACGGTCTCGGAGGCTGTACAAACACGACAAATCATTGAAGCAGTAACGCCAGAAATTCGTCTGACACATTGTAATATAAAATTCCTGGCACTCTGCCTTGCCGAAAATCCCGCCGAAGTCTCGGAAAGAGTGTGAACATGATCTGCTCATTGACAGACCAGGCTACTTGCAAGACTTGCCCACGCTCTTGAGAATTCAGAAACATCCAGAATGTCGTAAAGCACTCCTCTAGCATCGTGTCGAACGGAATCACAGAATCATCGTCGTCAAAACTGTCCGCGACCGAGCCCGCAGTGCTTGCACCCTCATCGTCAACCAGAACCCAGTCCGAGCCCACAGACTCACTGTCACTCCACGACGTCGACGACATCTGCCGGCTTGCAGGGGGGCCTACTACGACTTAGACTTGAGACAGAGCAGCTGTAACACGACTATAGTAGATTACGCAGGGCAACAGCGAGCACAACTGCTGCAGCGGCAAGTTGCGATACATGACACGCTCACTGACTATGCAAGGCAGCTTGTCCTCTGCGATGGCAGCATGTCCTCAGGATCCTCGTCATGAGCCTCGGTGCCAGGACTGTACCATAATAATGGAAGTAGCTGAAGCAAGCTGATGCTGAGATCCCAGCAGTTGGCATCCACTTCTCGATGGGCTGGAAGCCGATGAAGACCGATGGGAGAGAAGGAAATGGAAGAGAAGGCGTTCACTAGGCTTGGATTCAAACCGAACACTTAGACCTGGCCAACGGTGTGGGGAGCAACCCCGATGGGGCAGGGACTTAAGTAAGGCAACCTCGAGAGGCTCGACTGGCACTCTGCCTCTGTCGATCCAAGTCGCAAGGCTCCCTAACTAACGTGACAAGCATGGATGGCCTCCCCTCCTGGTTGGGAGAAAAATAAAAAAGCCACAACCACTGGACCACCCCACCCAGCACTTTAGCCCATGTGCCCGGGTGTCATATGCCACTGCCCTGGCACGTTGGCCCCAAGGCGGTCCAGGTACCATCGACAACACCTGACACCCGGCCAACGGTGTCCACGAACCGAGATGGGCAGTCGATCCGTGTGGGTAAGGTGGCACTCTGCCTCTGTCGCTCCAAGTCGCAAGGCTCACTAACGTGACAAGCATGGATGGCCTCCCCTTCAGGGCTGTAAGCAGATTGCGAACAACACCCACTGGACCACCCCACCCGGCACTTTAGCCCATGTGCCCGGGTGTCATATGCCACTGCCCTGGCACGTTGGCCCCAAGGCGGTCCAGGTACCATCGACTCAACACCTGACACCCGGCCAACGGTGCCCACGAACCGAGAAGGGCAGTCGATCCGCGTGGGTAAGGGCAAGATCTCAAGGCAAGTCAACATGTCACTACGGCCTCCCTTCTTTGTTCAATCACAACCCAAAACTATTTAAAAAGATTAAATATTAAAAATTATTAACTTCAACAACAAATAAACAACAATTTTGTAGACATACAGCAGCAGGAAACCAGGTAGAACAACAGGAAGCCAATTGACTCACTCAGAAACAAAATTCACAAACATGTATTTTTTTACACCAAAAATAAAATAAAAGAATTTTAACAACTGTAAAACACAAAAAAACCTATTTAAAAAACTTTTAAATACAAAACAATACTTTTAAATACAAAAAAACACTTTTAAACACAAATAAAGCCAACCACATACAAAAATGAGATTTTGGGTTCCTTTCATATAAGCCTTGTTGATCTAAACCCTGTGGTTCTGGTTCGGCGCAAAGGGTTAAGGATTTGTTCAATATGAAGATATTGGGATCTTATAAGAGGGTCTGAACACCACAAACCAAAGGCGCCACTAGAATCACAAAAAGAAACACTCCTATAAGCCCCCCATAGAAAGACCTTTATATACATAATATATATATATGTGTATTTATATCTATATTTATATTTATATTTATACTTATTTATCTATTTATATATATATATATATATATATTTGTTTGTATATGGGAGTGCCCTACAATAAGCAAACAGATGAGTTCATAATATGACTACATAAACAGAACTTTATGCATGTAGAGAGATGACATAGTTAGCTAGCTAGAGATATAGTTCAATAGATGTAGGTGCATATATATATATATAGATATATAGATATATATATGTATGTATCTGTGTACATGTATAGGTATACAAATATAAGTGGATAAAGTGTAGAACGACACATATATCTCTTTTTCAACAGATATGACGTCTTGATATAAACACATATAGGGTTATCAAAAGGCGAAGATATGAGAATATGGAGATGTAGGCCTGTATTTCCAAGATATGATATAATATATCAGATATGGTACAGACGGATAGACAAACAGATAGGTACACAAACTGACTAGCTGATATTCATTTAGCCTAGCTTCGCTGCGTCGGAACGGCCTCCGTCACAGCTAAGTCCAAGGACATGTCCATGTTCACACCGTCCTCCTCTCCCTCCCACTGCTGCGACTCCGAGTACGATGCCTTCGCTGCTTGCCTTAGACTGGCAATTGTATGGAATCTGGATGAGACCCTATACTATCTTTCTGAATAGCAGACTCTGTAGACAACAACATATCCTGTAATCAAGCACTCTAGCTCAAAGCTGATTTGGACAGGTCTCCGCTTGTGACCCTGGATCTTCAGTTCCAAGTAGTAGGTCACCGTGTTTTGTTTGTAGGTGTGCCACCTGCAGTGGCATTTGTTTAAGGCTTGAAAGGGGTACAAGATTATATGACTTGACCTATAGTTTCTGGCCTGATGAACTGCTTCGGGTCCTTCTCACATTTGTTCACGATAGCTTGGATGTCACTCCTTACTTGTCAAATTCGCAGATGGTAACAGCATGGGTTGCCACTTTCGTCTAGCTTTAATTAAACTGTCTAAGTCAGCCCAGGATCTCTGTCATACAGTACGGATCTTCTGCCATTTCGGCCTTTGACACAAACACGAACGGCACTTCAACCTGGTTTTCGCGCTCCTTTGTGACCGTAATGTTGTAGCGCTTGAGGAACATATCCTGCAGGAAGACACAACATATAATATACGTAGATTTCGAGGTTGGGGTTTAAGCCTTTAAACCTATAGAGAGAGATACATACACAGGGGGTTAGAGGCCTATAAACCCTTTATATTTGATGTAAACCATACTTTCATAAAAGAGGCTTTCTCGAAAACATGTCCGGATTGTAGCCGCAACCAGCGAAGAGGCTGATTGCCTGGCTTCTTGTGCCCTTGTTCCCCCACAAAGTGCGGATGTGTTCCGCAACGCGAAATGATCCGTCTGGACCAGGCTTCATCAGACGCCGCATGCGTCTGTCAATCGCGGCTTCTGTGGGCTGGTCTGAGGCATCGTTGCTCGTGCTCGGAATCTGCTGTGGTGGGGCCTGCGGCGTAGG